AAAATATGAAATCATTTTTGGGCGCTTTGGTAGAAGCCAAGCCTACTGGAAAGGACGTATCTCGATTAGTTTGCTGATAGCCTCTTGATATCGTATATTACTGAATGCAGGCCATAAAGAACCACTTGGACGTGTACTTCGAAAGGACATTTGCACTTGTGTATCAATTGCACCGTGAATGGAGGAAAGCAACTGTTAAAAAGATGAAGGAATAGGGAAGGAAAACGAAGACTGTAGAGTTAAAGACATGTGACAAGGGCCGGTTTGTATATATGAGATATATATTCTGAAGAAATACTTGCAGAACTATTCTGCCTGTGTTTCATCCCTTAGCTGTAAACACAGACAACAATCTGTTGTGAACACGAGTGGGAATCATCAGTACAGCCCCCTATCCACCAAAATATACAAATATGAACTGGCGACTTACACCTTCCTGGACTGGACAGCTTGGCAGAGTTGCGCGTGGCGTGCAAAAATACCCCAATGGCATTATGTGTTTCAGCATCTCATCCTCATGCAGCGACTATGCTAAGAGATACTTATCAGTAGAAGATCCCAACAATCGATGTGGTAATTCCATGTTAGTGATGTTACTGAGGATACTGTGGGGAACCCTTCGATCCTGAGCTGCATGCCTCCAGATAATTAGTGATTTATGAGCGATATTTGTTGCAAGGGCACTTGAACTTTCAGTTATTTTTTCGTTTTTCTAATTAAAATCTTTTTTTTTAGTTATTTTCAGTTATTTTTTAATTTTATTAAAATTTATCTTCTCTTTATTAAAACAATTTTTTTAATTTTATTTTTATTAAAACAATTTTTTATTTTATTAAAACAAAAAACAATTTTCAGTTATTTAATCTAATTAAAATCTTCTATATTAAAATTTATATTATCTTCCTTTTCTTCTCTCTCCATATTAAATTTTTAAAATCTTGGTTTTTTCTCTCTTTTATCCATTCCTTCTTCATCCCATTCTTAATCTCGCTAAATCCCACAATCTTTACTCCTACCTTTCTTCCCTTGCATCTTTCTCTTTTCTCTTCCTTTTCCATTAAACACCGCGGCTGTCATACTGACGAGGTTCTGTTGCAATGTTGAGTTAAGACGTATATGACTTAATGGACCGAAACGACTTATCTCACTCTTGCCTTCTTTCCTCATACTGTTCTTGCTTTCTGTATTCAATTGCATACTCACAACTTTTCACATACTCATTTACATATTACTTTTCACATACTCACGACACATTTCCATACCTTTGTCACAAAATAGGCACCTATATAACTATCTTTTCTCTTCCCCGACCACTTCCCTCTTGTGCCCTTCTACCACTGGTCAGTGCTAGTCGCTACAATTACGGATTAATCATTACCTCCGTTCTCATCAATTTCCTTCAGAAAAGCCCAATTTTCACTTCTCCCATTCAGCAGCTCACATATATATGCAATTTTTGGTCATTCCCCCATCAACAATTTGACTTAATTACATTTAGCATGCTTCATTTTATTTCAATCGCGTCTTCACCAATTCGGCTTCCAGGATCAACCTGGATGCTACAATCGGCTTACCTGAACAAAGAATTCATCGGAGCCATAAATCATATGAAAAACCTGTACAGTAATTTCGGTGGAACGTCCCCAAGAACACCTCCAAAGTATAGGGGAAGCTCGTCCGACGAGAAAAATGAACTCCATTGAAGGATGACGAAACTTACACGATGGGATCGAACTGGGGACGATCGGGCACTGATGCCGAAACGGAGCGTAGCATCATCAGGCGTGGGTTGAGAAATCCGGAACGCATCGGAAGAATGCGTCGAGCTGCTACTGCTGCCGCCAACATCTGTGTAATTGCACCAAGAATTCGCGGACGATCTGCAAAAACCCAGTGATTTCACGAAAGAGAAAATGACCATCTCCGAAAAGGCATTAATACGCTCACGCAACTGTCAGACAGGCCAATATGAAGGGAATAGGGTATCGCACAATAGCGTAACATATCAAATAGTGATTAATGGCTTTTGTTAAAAATAGATTAAAGACCAACTGCGTTACTATGACGCAGTATCCCTGTCCCTGGTTCAAACTCTAACCGCCCTACCCTCACTGAACTTTCGATCTTTGTTCCCTTGAGTATAAAAGCACTCCTCCCCATCGCCGGAATCGCCACTTTCGATTGCTTATTCTAGCCTACTTATTCTACATAATACTGCCCCTATTCTGGAGAGCTTCGGCTCCCCAGAGCCTTACCTACTTTTTGTACCTTACCTTTTTACTTTACTGTGTATGGATAAACGAGCATATAGGACGCGGCGTCTTACATACACATATACTCACACATACACGCACCTACCCACGGGGTACTCACTAGTCTAAATAAGATAACAATTAGGGTCGCGATTAGGGGAAGGGGAGGGAGGGG